AAACATGAGAAGTGCCTGATGGTGGCGTGTAGAACTGTTGTACTGAATCAACGTTTTCTTTGTAACACATCTTGTTTTTATATTGTTGTCTTTTAGTCTATCTGCATTTAAATTACATTAATGGTTAGAACAATTATATTCACAATGCCTTCAGTATGTTCTGTATTATGCCTTCAGTATAAGTGTAAAAACAGATGTAATTACTCATTAGAGCACAAATATATCATTTTTCAAGTTTGCCGCCTGATTTCTGATCTGTTTCTTTCTTATTGCAATAACATTCACTTTCAGGCGTTATGCTAACTACAATATCATTCCACCAGCTTCCATTCTTATAACAATAACCGATTCAGGAACCAACGTGTTTTTAAAGTTTCTCAATTCGTTCTCCTGACATATTGTGGTTTCATTTTTAAATGACTGGTTTTTGGACGTGAAACACAGAGTAAGAGGATTTATATTACTAGCGGCCCTCGTCCACCCGGCCTTCACAAGCGCAAACCGAATATTGCAATACCCTATTTCTCGAGAGGGCGCTGCTTTGACTACAAAAACAAGGCTTGCTGCAAGGACGAAGGTGCGGTGTCAAATTTTTATGAATCAAAGGCTCCTTTACGGCAACAAATTCACTAACAATCAATTGACAGAAATATATGCCGTTAATTCGTTTGATTTATGCAGAGTAATTTGTAACCTTGACGTTAAAACAACATGGCGTTGTGCCGCAAGGTTTTCGTGACGCGTTTAACTGTGGTGAGTCGCTCCTTTGTTTTTGTCCACTTACCTCTAATGCGCCGAAGGTCATAACAAATGTCTAGCGTCGTGAAACTACATTTTCTGTTCCTGAAGTCCATGTTACAAGCGCCTAAACGCATGATACTATGATTACCATAAATATTCACAAATTTGTGTTGTAGTAATTTAATTGAATCTTAATGAATCACAATTGGTACATAAAACAAAATCATTCTTTCCATAGATACATCAACACCATGGACGTAACATACTCAATACATGGTTACATTGTCATATTCAAGGCCACCAAGTTCTAAGTCATAGACAAGCAGTTTGAACTACTGTAAATACTATCTGATTCACGAAAATTGAGAATGCGAATTACGCACAAGAAATGGCCTAGTCGTGTTATCAAAGGATTGGACCCGTTTCTGTAAGTTGAGAAATAACTCAATATTCTCAATAGTCAATATTTTCCTATTTGTTGTTGGTATTGTTCAACACATTTCTGTATAAAAATCACCTTTGAGCGTCCATCAATATGGGGTCCAGGGCTATCTAGGACAAGCAACAGATCAAAGTGCAAAGTTGAAGCGATATCACATAGGATACCTTCTTATAGCTGCATTAAAATTTATTAATAGCATTTCTGTTATAGCTGAGTTAAAAATTATATCGTTACGTTGTGTATATTCATAACATATTTCTATTTTTTATTCTTTCAATTACTTCTATTATAATACGTGCCTAGACATGCTTTTCGCTCCATTAATTCGTATTGTATCAACGACATCTATAGTATCTATCTCCAAACACATCTTTGCCTAACGTCGAGTCTGTTGTCCCAGTATCGTGGCGAGAACTGCGAAGGTATCTGAATGGCAACCAAACGGAGTCAAGGAAACTATGTTACGAAATACGATGTTGGGAAATCGATGAGCGGGCTATACGTTTGACTTCGCGACGTACAGCCTTGATGCTTTCTCGTTTCCATGTTCCAAAGACATCTCAAATATTTAATCGTTCTCACCCAAATCTCAATCTTTACATATTGTAGATGATAAAATGAAATTCCTGTCATTCTTTAAAATCATTCATTGAGGAAATTTCAATGTTTTATACAAATAACACCAATAAATCATATTTTTTCAACATTTTAGTTCGATAAGTGATGATATTCACGTTACTCGTGAATGTAATAAGGGATGAAAAGAAGCAACAAATGTTAGATTACGTTTTTCGATACGGAATTAGTTGTCTCGATGTCAAATTAGTTGATTTATATTGCAACTTCATAAATGACTTATCAACGTTTAATTATAATGAACGGATGATATATTCAAAGAATTCTTATCTACGGCAATAAGCTTTATATGTTTTTACATTTACAATATCTAAAAAAATTACTGTGATGTGTGTTAGCTTTTCACCGAATTAAGATAATTAAGATCTGTTTGTACACTAGACTCCAAAATAGTTGAAGTTCGAATACGTGTTATGTATTATGTTAAATACATTGCGTTTGGCTGAAGTTAACATTTTCTCATCATTTTAGAAAATCAAAAGATATAATACAAAAATCCCCTTCAAAATATTTAGGGAAGTGCAATGTCTTGTAACGCGAAATTGAGAATATATGAGGTTTTAATTCACCAAAGAGATAATAACTTTCACGAATAAAATGAAAAAACGTGTTTGAGAAAAATCTCTTATGTAGTTTCAAACTTACTGTCTTACAAACTTATTATCTTTTTTAAACTTTATATATTTTTCTGCTTAATTATCGTCTCTAGTTCAATATTGGTGTTAAAACTTTTCTCATTTTTCCTTTCCCGTATTCTTATGTAAAGACGAAATAATATTCGTAGTATAAGTTAAGTTATGCAATGCTGTATAAAATCTATTTCGAGATTTCAACGGAAGTACACATTTTGGGGTCCCCTCATATCGAAAAATTAGTTGTTTTCGAAACGTCCATCTGTCTGTCTGTAAACACTACTAGCACCTAAACCATGTGTAAGATTGTTTCAAAATTAGAGAAACCCCTGTCCATCTGGCTCGAATTGAAGCTTTGATATTTTGAAAAACATTCTTTAAAATTTTGGAGTACTTTACATGAAGCTCTCCTGACATTTTCAAAATTCAATAAAAAACGGCTACAATTTTTTTCTTTAAATTTATTTTAAGAATGGAGTGACATACACTTATAAAGGTGGTATAGACCCGATTTTCATGGTTAGCTCGGAATTTTCGAAAGGTTTAAAAGTATGAGTTTTTTCGGTTTCTTTCTACAACTAACAGGAAACATTTTTCCTTCAAATGAAATTTGTGACCATAATATTGTCTGTTATTAAGGTCCTGCACACTTTTTGAAAATTTTAATAGTTTTCGCGCAATAGTGCGTGCAATATTACACTTTTAAAAAATAACAAAAACAATTTTTCTCAAAAGCGGCTTGTAATGTTTTCATTAAACGTTTTGTAGGGATAGTGCTAAATGTGCTCTATGAGATGACATAAACATCAGTTTGCTCTATTCTTTTGTTTCTTTGTTTTTCAAAAATTTAATGTATTTGATTTGTCTTTCACGTTAATATTTACAAGAGCGGCGATTCGTTTACATTATTATATGTATGAGTACATGTGCTTTAAATAATGACAGATAAATTTTCTCGAGAACTCAACTGTTTTCTGTGAAACCTAGCTCAAAATTCCACATTTTCTGAAACGCCCAAACGCCATGTTCTCAAAAAACAGATCCATTTTTTTCAAACTTTTGGAACGGATAGTGCTATTGCTTACAGAAAACTTCTACGGGAAAGTCTGTGCAATTCTGTAGCACCACTAGTTTCGTGTAATCCACGATTTTCGTATGTTTGAAAATTAGCATCCCATTAAAGAAATATTTGCAAAGAAACTGCATTACGAAATATAAATACCTATTTTATTCCTGTAAAATTAATATCTCTAACAAAAGTTCACGGACGATATGAGTAATATATTTCCATTATATGTTTGACGGCCTCAATATTCGTAGAAATCTAGAGCACGACAATACGAAAGCAAATACAATGATAAAATAAACTTGGTAAGTGTGCGTGTGTGAGAGAGAGAGGGGGAGGGAGAAATTGAGACGGAGAGAGAAAGAGAGAGAGAGAGAAGAAGGGAGTGAGGGAGTGAGACGGAGAGAGAGAAAGGGAGGGAGGGAGGAAGGGAGACAGAGAGAGAGAGAGAGAGAGAGAGAGAGAGAGATAAGTGTGTTAGTACACAAATTCATGAGCTATTACTCACAAAGAGTGAGTAGAACAGTATCTTTAAAGCACTCTTTAGTCATCGACTGTAATAATCAGGATGAACGCATCACGCGAGTACGACCGTAACAGCCCCATAACGCACGTTGTTAACGTCGGGTCTTCCTTGCGCGCTGTCGTGCGGAACAGTCAACCGCAGAGTAGTAGCAAACAAGGACCCAGCGTGCTCTTCCTGAGGAAGTGCGGTCGGCTCATACCCTTGGCGTTTCTCTCTCACATAAATAACAGCGCCGCGTGAGAAGTCGCAGCAGATCGTTAACTCTGGAACGAGGACAAAAGCGTTCGGCGCACCACGAGAAGAACCTTCGGCAAGTCACGAGACGACTGCTCACCGCGATGAATATGCGAGCGACGAAGATGCAATTAAAGTGACGAAGTGAAATCGGGACGACGAGGTGAAATCGGAGCGACGAGGTAAAATCGGAGCGACGAGGTAAAATCGCAGCAACGAGGTGAAATCGCAGCAACGAGGTGAAATCGCAGCAACGAGGTGAAATCGCAGCAACGAGGTGAAAATCGCAGCAACGAGAGGTGAAATCGAGCTAGAACGAGGTGAAATCGAGCAACGAGGTGAAATCGAGCAACGAGGTGAAATCGCAGCGACAAGAGGGTGAAATCGAGCAACGAGGTGAAAATCGTCGAGGCAGACGAGGTGAAATCGAGCTGACGAGGATGAAACGGAGCGACGAGGTGAAATCGGACGAACGAGGTGAAATCGGGCGACGAGGTGAAATCGGAGCGAGAGGTGAATCGGACGACGCAGGTAATCGCCACGAGGTGAAAATTGGAGGCGACGATGGGTGAAATCGGAGCGACGAGGTGAAATCGGAGCGACGAGGTGAAATCGGAGCGACGAGGTGGATATCGGAGGACGAGGTGAAATCGGAGCGCCAAGGTGGATATCGGAGGACGAGGTGAACAGCCGAGAGTACGGTGAGCATCGGAGCGACCCGGCATGTGGAGGAGCGCGTGGGTGATCCTATGCGCGTGCGCGGTGCTGGCGGCGGGTGACGGGCAGCGCCCGTGCAACTGCTCGGGCCTCATCCGCCGCAAGGCCGACTGCTCCCAGCGCGGGCGCTCCACCTTCGACAAGAGCGACCTGTGCGCGGGGCTCACCACCACGGTGGACCTGTCGCGCAACGCCTTCAGCGCCTTCCCGCCCGCCCTCGGCGCCCACGTCATCCACGTCAACGTCTCGCACAACCGGCTGACGGCGCTGCCGCGCGCGCCGCCGCTCAACGCCAAAACGCACTCGCTCGACGTCTCCTCCAACCGCATCGCGGCGGCCGGCGACGAGCTGCGCGACCTGTCCGCGCTGCACGTGCTCGCCGTCGGAGGCAACCGCCTCGCCTCGCTGCGGTTCCTGCCCAGCCCGTGCGCGCTGCGGCGACTCAGCGCGCCGGGCAACCTCCTGCACGAAGTGCCCGTCGACCTGGACCGCTGCAAGCAGCTGCGCGCCTTGGACCTGTCCGACAACCCCATCGGCGTGCTGACGCAAGGCTCCTTCGTGGCGCTGGCCAACCTCGAGCACGTGCACCTGGCGCGCGCTCGCTTGCAGCAGCTGGAAACCGGCTGCTTCGACGGGCCGGAGAAGCTCAAGCACCTGGACCTGGCGCACAACAGGCTGTCCACGCTGCCCCCGGCGTTGTTCGCGCCTCTAACGAACCTCACGCGGCTCGACCTCGACAACAACACCTTAACTTCCCTTTCGAAGGACGCCTTTATCGGGCTGTCCAACCTACAGATACTCAGACTAGTTAATAACCACATAACCCAACTCGCTAGGGACGTATTTTCGCCTCTGAAGAACCTGGAATACCTTCGGCTTGACGGAAACCGCCTGAAGACTCTGCCGGCCGATGTGTTTGCCGGCATGGCTGAGCTCCGCAGCGTCGGGTTGAGCCACAATCGCTTGGCGGCGCTTCCCGCGCGTGCGTTCGCTAACCTTCCGCGCCTGCGCTACGTGGACGTGTCCGCCAACGGCCTGACGGAGCTGCCGTCGGACATGCTGTCGGGCGTGGAGCACCTGCACGCGCTCGACCTGCACGGCAACCACCTGCGGGCGCTGCCGCGCGGGCTGTTCGGTGGCGTGCGCTCCGTCGTCGCGCTCAACCTGTCGCACAACAGCCTGTGGAACTTGGACGGGCGCGCGCTGGAGGGGCTGGGGCGCGTGGAGCGGCTGGACGTGCAGAACAACGTGCTGCGCGCGCTGCCCGAGTACGAGCCTTCCGTGTGGCCCGGCGTGGGGCGCGCCTTCCTGGGCGGCAACCTCATCGACGCGGTGACGGAGGCGCAGCTGCGCTCGTGGCTTGGGCAGCGGCCACCGCCGGCGCGTGCTGGCCCTGGCGCGCGGCCCCCGCCTGCGCGCGCCTCAGCCGCTCTGCGCTGGGCGCTCGAGACCCCAAGGTGCTAGGCCGCAGCACGCTGCGACGGCTGCGCCTGCGGCCTTCCCCTCAAATCAGCGCTAACGCCGAGGTCAGCTTCTTTGCAGCCGAGGCCCGACTGCCCCCGGGGACGTCGCCACTGGACGGAGGGCCGTGCGCGCCGCACGGGCCCGCCCCAGCGCGGGACTGACCGACCACAACCACGCCTCTAGGGCGGTACCTATGCCTGTGGGCCTCCCGCCTAGCCCCACGTGCCTCTCGTCTCCTAGTGGGCCTCTCCTCAGTGGCCCTCTGCCAGTGGCCCTCTGCCAGTGGCCCTCTGCCAGTGGCCCTCTGCCAGTGGCCCTCTACCAGTGGCCCTCTACCAGTGGCCCTCTACCAGCGGCTGTCTACCAGTGGCCCTCTACCAGCAGCCCTCTGCCAGCGGGCCTCAAATGGGTGTACAAAGCTGCTCTCCACAGTCGCTAATTTACTTAAGTTAGTTCCAAAGAACTGGACAGTTTTTTTTCTTCAAATAAGAGATTAAGGTGATCGAACCGTGTCTTCTTGTATTAGATGGGGCACATCACAATAAAAGCTTCATCTTTTTTATCTTGTGCCTCCTGTTAGGGGAAGCTAAAACGTTATACTTCAGAAAATCGAGTTGGGCTTTTCTTGAATAGTTGGCTGGCGCGCTTTGCGTTCTGGCCCATGTCTCAAGAAAGCTCTAACATACATCGCCAATATTTTTTCTACAAAAGAATTATTTTGTAAAACATTGCATATTTGTCTGTTAATAGCACTTATTTAATCATAAATAAACACATAAATGAGAAGTTGTTCTCTACTGTCATGTTTTCCTTATTTATTCCTTACATGTTTTCCCTCTTCATTATTATTTCTAGCAATAATGAACGTAGAAGAACAGTAGTAAATGCTGTTATTGAGTTGGTGTGTTTATGCTTGATTCGACTTTTTATATTTTTAAGTAAATTTTTATTGTGATAATGACTTCAGCACTTCTCTTAATTTAAAATCGCAAGTAAAAACACATTTTCATTAATGTCGAATTTTCTGTAGTGACATGATTAATTTATAATTATTTTTTAATTTTCAATATTTACTTGCTCTACGTCTTACTCTTGTATATATTGTTTAGGACAAATCCAAAACCTCACAGATAAGTATATAATTGTTTAAATACATTACGAGTACATATGAATACATATGAAAAATATTTGTACAAATTCTATCAACAAATTCAACTATTGTATATGAATGATATTGCAAATTATTACTACCATATTTAGATACTACTGTTTTGTTTCCTTTGGAAGTTTTACTGCCTCTTCCTTTTCATGGGAATAATTTGCATGAATTTTCTTTCAATGACTTTATACAATGTGTTGTAACAAACTCGTTAGTTTGAGTCAAATAATGTTCATTTCATAATATTATGTCGGGTTTATTGGTTACAGATAAACTATTGAGATAAGCAAATTTATTTTCAGTAGTAAATTATGTGCTGAGGAACATTTCGCAAAAGATGTTGCCCACATCTTATTCTTCAGGCTAATAACATCAATTATCCTGTGGTCAATACAATGACGTAACGCGGAAAGGACAGGATATACCTTTGGTTAAAGTAAATGTACAGTAAAAACATCCACAAATCAACCTATTGATTGATTTATACATTGGTAGGTTTAGTGGAAAAAACAGCATGCAACTTCTTCCCAAACTTCCCAAAGTTCAAATATCTCCATTCTTGAGTTGCCTCGTGCATTTACCGAATTGCTCGCCTACCTTTAATTGAGTGTTGGTCTTTGTACCGATTAAATCACATGAAAATCATAATTATGAAACAACGATTTTCTGAAACTATATTGTTAGCATGGTTTTCAATATCCATCGAATATTTCATTTGGATAGTTAAAATGAAAATATTTGTTTTAAAAAGGCACAATGTGTAGAAAATTAGGACTTAATAAATTAATCAAAGTTATAACTAAGGCTTGGAAGTTAATGCTGTATCAAAAGGAGAAATATGCATGCTAATGTGTTCTAACATTTGTAAGATATGCTCCAGAACAAATGAAAAATGCTCTAACAATTGACAGTTTTATGAATTCATGAATTACAAAACTTAAGTTAAACAATTCATTTTGAATTTTTGTCTCCGCTTCGTATTCCAGTTATCATTTTTCAAGTAAAATATGTTTTCGTATGTATCGTCGTCAACGTATCAATTCCAGTGCTACAAATTCTTTAGCAAAGGTAAATATTCACATTATTCATTATCGGACAAATCGTCTCATCTAAAAGAAGGTAAGACAAACGCTGCAACGAACGAAAGAATTCTTGAGTGCCAGAATCCCTTCCCGTCATTTTAATTATAAATAGTTCAAAGATGAGTAAAAGTTTAACATAAATAAATAAAAATACATTTTAAAAATCGCAAGATTAGCAATATTTGAAAAATAGTCATTTTCGTTTCTGAGTTACAGAAAGCTTGTTTGCATCGGTACACGAATTGCAAGTACAATTTTTCTGCATTGCTAACAAAATAGCAACTCGCCCTTACCTCTACTCTTACCATTACAAGCAAAAGGAGTGTTCAACAAAACGTGCGCATAGTGAAGCTACATTTACGACCAAAAGCAAAACAAGGGGCTATTTCATCCATTGCTCAATGGATCAGGGAAACTAGACAAAAACCTGAACGAGTATTTGAGTGGTATTCGCCGGAGAAACCACGGAAAACTACCGATCACAGCAGCCGGTCGCTACAATTCTTCTCTAGACAACGACTGATTAGCACAGAAGACTGTCGAAAATCCTTCCACCGTCGGGACTGGAATCTAGGACTTCCCGGTCAGAGGAAGTCTAGAACTACATCAGCACGAGGTGGGGAGGGGTGGATGTTTATTCTGAGTAGGTTGATACTCATAGTACCAAAAGGGTGCCAGGATAATTACATTAAGTTTTGGTCATAAGTTACCTTAAGCAGCAGCGGTGGACAGTCGGGCAAATGGATACGTAATCCCGATCTCAAAAGTTTGGATATTACTACGATAAATTGAATGTAAGTACAACATCATTTGAAAATGCAATATATTGATTGAAAGATGAGACCCCGGAAAATAGGGAACATTGGAAGTTAATAAAATTGTAATAATTATGTACGAAGTCTTCATCCAACAACTTACAGTCCATTCTTCCAATACGAAAATCAAACAAGGATGCAATCCTAAACACCAGTTACCGATCAATCAGACTGCTTCCCACGCTATCTAAATTATTAGAACAAAAAAATTAAAACGATTCAAATCACATCTCCACAACACAAGGCCATACCCATGGAACAAATGGAATTCACTGAACTGTGCCCACACATCAACTACTCAGAATCACTGAAAACATCAATACGGCATTCCAAAAACACTAACATACAATAGTAATCTTTCTCGACATTTCTCAAACCTTCCATAGAAGGTTAATGCCCCTACATTATCTTACACAATTCATTTCCAACTTCCTCGACAATACAACATTTGCCGTTACAGTTGATAACCATCACTCCAATCCAAAAGCGGTCGAAGCAGGCCTTCCCCAAGGCCCCCTGTCACCTCCCGCTCTTTTTAACTTGTACGAAGCCGACTTACCGAAATGCAGTAAAATAAATCCACCCAATTTGCAGATGACACGGCTATATATTTATCAGGTCCCACCATAAACGCGATAAAAATCTATGTTCAATTATATTTACACCAAACTGACAGGTGGGCAGACAAAAATTAAATAAAAATAAATTCGTCAAAAATAGCAACTAAACTATTTTATTTAAGACCTTACGTCCCTCCATCTCCTTTACAGATGAATCAAGAACCTGTACAATGGCTTCCTCGTAATAAACCCATAAAATATCTCGGTTTCTTCTTAAACACCTGACTCAATTCCAAAAACATATCGACAATAAAGTTATACGAGCAAAAATAAAACTACACCAACTGAAACCAATAATATGTAGATCAACAAAACTAGCATACAATAATGCCTTTTTGCTGTACAAAACTATCATACGACAACTAATATGCATGCAGTTTGGGTCATCGCAGCCAAATCTAATACAAAAAAACTCCAAGTAATCCAAAATAAGTTCCTCCGCACCGTCACGAATGCCTCATGGTACATCTCCAACGCTAAACTCCATAAAGAATTCCAGCTAGAACCGATAACCAACCGTTTCAATTTTGTATCCACTCACTTTTTTTCCAAATACACCCAACCTAGCTCCGCTAAGACTCTGCCAAAAACCAGTACATAGAACTACCATCAAGAATAAATTTTCTTTCCATACATTCCTCAATAAATTCTCAATAAATTTCGAATCACAGTAGAGACATTATATAAAGATACCTCTAACACTCTCGTAGTAATGTAAGTTGTATTTTAAGATTATTAGTAAGATTATTGTAAGTTAATTATAAGTTGGACGTGTTCGGATACTTCTGAATACATAGAGTAACTTTGCCTGTCCTTTTCTGCCTGAGGCCAGCTGTTCCTCTATGGCTGTTGAGGACGGTCTCCCTGCAGCCAGTGCGTAACGTGTAGCCAATTAGAAGTCACGATAATTGGCGCGTGGGCGGGAGCGAATTGGCAAATTGCACGAACTGCCATCCTCTACTATGAACGTAGGAACCGCGTGGGTTGCTAATGACGTCAGTACACACTAGAAGGTTGTGTGGGGGACATTTTCTTCATCACGTGGCCCACCAACCAGCGTCAAGTGGCACGGTTTATATTCAAGACCTCGATGACCAAAACGGTTGAGAATTAAATATTGTTCGGCGACGTTTTATGAACTGTTCATGTACTCATTTAGGAATTTCATGAGAGCAACAAATTTTTTGCATAAATATTAAAAAATTCTAGAGTAGGCTCTGAATTACGAGCATTTGAAAATTCAAATATTGAACTTGTATAATTTGAATATATTTCTGCTCACAAAAGCATATTGAAAGCAAATGAACATACTAATAATGACCAC